TTCTTCCTGTTGATTCACAAGCTCGAGAGACGACGTGGAGCGATAGTCAAGGACTGAGGAGCCTACAAGGAGACAAGAGAGCGACTGGCACTGCGCCGAATGCCAGAGCGTTCCCTGTGTTGCTACGTAGTCCCGACGAAGCTGCAGATAAGAGTGAATGCGTCCCAAGAACGGAGAAACTGCAGTTCGTGTCGACGTCTAGTCTCGAAGCGCTCTCGGTCTTCCATCAGCTGCCTGTTGCCGGGAACTGGACGCTTGAGTTGACTGACACTGCAGCGGACGGCTTTGTCGGGACCCTGGACTCGTGGGACGTCACTTTCGACGTTGCTCCTTGCGTTCCTGCCTTCACGTGGACGAATCTGTCGTCCATAGCAACGGGAACGGCCCCGACCGCGCGGTTCCAGCACTCGGTTGTCGTAGTCGGGAGCAGTATGTTCATCTTCGGAGGCACAGCGGGAGGTACTGGCTCGGAGCTGAGCGACTTGTATCGACTGGATTATACCCGCAGTGTGGCGCTCGGTGTCGCGCCAACTGCTCGATGGACGCAACTTGCGTCTCTGACCGACAGAGAGAGCCCCAGTATCGCTGAGAGGAGAGTTCATGCAGGACGGGCAACGTTGCTGACTCCGTTTGAGTTGATGGCTGTCGGGCGTGGACTCAAGTCTCCTCGACGAGCGTCTCTCGGGTCCAGGACGGCGATGGCAGCTTCTCGCCTCGAGTCGCAACTGGACGTTCGTTTGAAGCGTCTCGAAGATCTGATCGACGGATGGAGAGCTGTCGCTACTGCATCTGGAGAGGATGAGAGCGCTCTTGACGAACAGCGTCCTGTGCCTCGGTACTGGGCTGCTAGCGCCTTTGTTTCCTCACTGCCAGGTAGTAAGGTGCCGCGTGTATTCCTGTTCGGCGGCCAAGATGACACGACGCTGCTGGACGATTTTTGGAGTCTGGAACTGGCTCAGCTAGATGAGGATTTCCCTCAAGATCGTCGAAAGAGTCAACGGATCAGAGCGTGTGCGTGGAGACAAGAGAACTCGGTGTACAGGACACAGTGGACATCGTCTTGTGGGGCAAGCAATACGGCAGCTGCAGTAGACGCATGGTGCGACGAGTATTACCAGTCGATTGGATTATAAACAACATAGAGTGTATCTATTATAATGAGAGCGGTTTTGCGTAGGAATCAAATTGCACATGGCCTTGCTTGGAAGTGATTGCTGTGTAGATGCTTGTTCAATCTTCCTTTACCATAACGTTACAGCAAGTTTGATAGGGGCCAGTATTGAAAGCTTCAACTTGGAGAGGATACCCACATTTGGCGGTGAGCAAGCTGGTACCAGCGAATTGGTACACTGATGCAAAGAATTTTTGGAGATACAAACCCGGATGGGTATTTTGCATCTGGACCTAATCTGTGTATGCTGATAATTCTTATTTGCGTTCCCCTCAATATCACGATCATTCTACCTCATAGCTCCCTGTTTACTGCAATAACGTATGAAAAAACACACCCTCATAAATATAAGGCGACGGAGTGATCCCGCCACAGTGAGTAATTTGGCAAGCACGAGCTCTCGATGGACAGTGTCGAGCGCACGAACCGCGGATGGGATGCCGGCTGACTGTTTACTTGCGCAAGTAGCTCAGCCACCAACCACTGGCTGGCCGCGTCCGCTGTTTGCTTTTCAGCTTCATTCGCGAATCTGCGTCGGAGACCACAAGCGCATCGAATTGCTGCCAGCGGGCAAGTGTTCATTGGCAGCAATTCGTCAGCGGCACCTCGGTAGTCATTCCTGTTTTTGTCCATCGGGTGAGTGAGTGCCTATTATCTACTGTAGTGCCACTCAATTTGCACACTCGCTCTTGTTTTGTACACCGTTTCTAACGTGATTGTTGTCACTTCAACAGCGGATGGGCTATCCAGTGAGTTGTTATCAATTGAGTGGCATGCATCCAGTCACTCACGTGAAGGTCGTGCGCAGCTCCAACAAGTTCAAGGCCTACAAGAAGCTCGAGCCCAGCTTGTCCCGGCGGGCATCTGGCACCGGGTCCGACTACTTGATTGCTGTCGAGATTCCAGACGATATTCATATTCATGTGTCTACACTGTCCTGTCAGACCGTCACACCGACCGTCGTTGGACATCATTGGGTTGACCAAGGCCTATCGAGGCTCGAGTCACCCACGCTGACAACTTGAAGCTGTTCAAGGTACGGCATCTGGTACCTGCAACTCGAAGCACGCCGAGCAACTGTCCTGGTAAGCTTGGTCGAGGGCGATTCATGGTCGAGCTCAAGTGTCATCAGCAACTGCGGATGAAGCGACATCAAGGTGCAAGTGAAGTTCAAGCATCGAGGCACCAGCTACTGGCACACAACAAAAGTCGAGTTGCATCGTAGACACATTATAGTGGACAAGTTGCATTCCAAGGCAACTGCGTGCTGTTTAACCAAGCTCAAGCTCAGCCGTGCTCAACCACTACCGTCTTCATGTCTGGGCTGCTCTCGGGCTATGACGATGCTTGTCAGTGCACCAAATCTGCTGAGTCCAAGCCATCAATGCTGTACGTACTGCTGTGCTCAACCAGTTCGCGTACGCGGTGCTGTGTTCACTCCATGCATCTACGTCATCAACGTCAAGACTCCTGCCTACCACTAGCCAACAGCCTTGTCGCTCCGTATGTTGACTTCGCGTGTCCCCGTGCTCGACTGGAGTCTGGTTCACTATGACGTACGCTCGATCACGTTGATGCGGCCATCCCATTCGCCTCGACAGTGCTCCACAGCATCGGCGGGATCGGTGGCTTTGCTCATGTGTACGGCAGACCTGCAACCTATCGAAGCCACATGGAAGTCACCTCCATAACAAGACCAAGAGCTCTCTATCATCCCGCGCATGCAGGACCTCGACGTCGTGAACGAGTTCAATCGGGTATGGCCGTTGTCCGATCTTCGGCAAGGGTCGCGTGAAGGTGATTGGTATCGGCTCAGTTCCTCGATGCGTTGGATACGCATCTGGTTGGTGTCGGCACTGTTCGTTGATGTCCCAGCGGCCTTAGTCCAGGTGGATCGACAAGTCTACGCAGAGCTGCAGCGTGTGGCACCTGGGAATCCAGTCTCTGCCTATGCGTTAGTCTCCTGGTCAGCCTTTGACAATGCGCTCGAGGCCTCTGGCGGTACTGCTAGTGTCGAAGCCTACGAAGTTCAGTACGCAGTGTCTGGGTCAGGCGTCTGGCAGTCGCTGGGGGATTCACTGACCGGATTTCGCGTCGACTTAGGTGCTCAAGCCACGGAACACGTGCCCAAGCAGCGTATTTTCACTCGTGCAGACGATGGCGAGTCCATCAACGATGGGTATTTCAGACTTGGCTTGTCGTATGAAGGCTCCAGTCCGAGTATCCTGGGCGGACGAGCTACTGCTGGTGTGGTGACGCCTCCGATCGCTTTCGACGCCAGTGCAGACGCCATGAAGACAGCGATCGAGTCTCTGGAGCAGGTCACACAGGTGCAGGTGGAGAGGAATGCGCTGGACGCTGATGGAGCGTTCGAGTGGATCATTCTCTTTGATCTCGTGGCGTACGACGGCGAAGATCCGCTGCCGTTGCTGTCGCTGTATACAGAGACGGTGTCAGCTCAGTGGACTGGAGACGGAGACCAAGTAGCTGTTCAGTATCTGCGCATGGCTCCGAGTTCTCCTGGTCGACATCGACGTATTTGCTCGGATGAATGCAGCTACCAAGTCACGGGACTGCAGACTGGTCGAGCCTTCAGCTTCCGTGTTCGAGCGCAGTATTCGTACGCTATTGGCTGGAGTTCATGGAGTGCACGTAGTGAACCACTGGAGATCCCAGCGACACCAGTACCGCGAGCTCCTTCAACCCCCGAGCTACTAGCGGCAACGACTTCTCATGTCACGATCTCGTGGCGTATGCGTCGAGAACTCACGCAGGAAAATGGCATCTTTGCTAGGGAATTCTTCCCCGTCACCAGCTTCCAGGCTCAGCAACAATGCGACAGTGAGATCGGCTGGACTACGATCAGTGAGCGTATACCGCCGGGGTTTAGTGGCAACAGTGACACCTTTGTAACTGTTGTTGCGTCCTTGGATCGTCCGCCAGGTTCCACCTGCGAGTTTCGAGTTGCTGCGACGAATGCCAACGGCCAAGGACCTTTCAGTTTGCCTTCAGCCAAATTCACAACGTTGCAAACAGCTCCGGGTGCTGTGGCGAACTTACGGGTAGCTCGAGACCCGCTTACTGTGGTCTGGAACACACCTGAGGTGCTGGGCGGTCATGCACTGGAAGAGCTAACCTACGATGTGGAATACCGCACAACTCTCGGCTCGACGTGGACGCGATTGCCAGCTGAGCTGGTGGACTGCAGCAGTCGACTCGCCAACATCTCAATGACGTCGCTGAAAGGATACACCACGTACGTCACGCGCGTCAGAGCGGTGGCTGAACGGCAAGCTGGTAGCTTCTCCCAGTCCGCAGAGTTCCTGACAGATTACACGGTTGAAGACGACTCGAACAGCGACAACGTCAAGGATTTAACCCTTGGAACACGCCAAGTGGTGATCGCTGCAGCTCGTCAGCAATGCGCTAACACACAGGACTGGTACTACGTCCAGTTGACTGGGAACGGCGGCAGTGGCGGCTCTACCAGTGGCGATGAAGCCAAACCTGGCGAGCACGGAGCTGTTCTTGTCTTTCCAGTCACGTGGTCGGGCGAAAGACTGGCGGAACATTCCTTCTTCTACACGGGAAGTGTCCAGACCTATCGAGTTCCAATTGACCAGTCTGCTCCTCATCTTGCGCATCGAATTGTTGCTCTTGATGTCTACGCCTGGGGCGCTGGGGGAGCTGGTGCGAGGTCGTCAAACGGAGCTTCAAGCGACTTGAGTAACGGCGGAGGAGGCGCCTTTGCACGTGGAGTTTTCCGTGTCAGTGCCGGTGATGCTGTGGACATTTTAGTTGGCGGTGGAGGCCTTCAAGACGGTCGGGGTGGGTTCAACGGCGGTGGAAACGGCGGCACAGGCGATTTCCCAGGCGGCGGGGGCGGTGGCGCGTCTGAAGTGCGCGTGAATGGACGAACAGCCGTCGTAGCTGCTGGAGGTGGCGGTGCGGGCTCGACGGATTACTGTTGTGCCCATGGAGGAGGCGGCGGTGGCTTGGATGAAGCAGAGTCTGGTCTTGCACCGGATGCGACAACGATCCCACTCGACTCACGTGTGACTGGACAAGCAGCTAGAGACGAATATCATTCCTCGAATGTACCGGGAGACACGAGAGACTTCGAGGGACTCTCAGCGAGACATGGACACCTCGACTGGGGCTTTGCTGCGAGTAGTGCAGACTACTCCGTTCTAGCAACTGGAGGCACAGGCGCCACGCCAACAACGGCAGGTGTGGCGGGGGCTGCAGGTTCCTATCGCTATTCTCTTGAAGGCACGTGTCTGTTGAACCCGCAGACATCTCTGGTGGACGTCGCCGTGTCTCCGTTGACAGCATCGCATTGGCCTTCGAATGGTCGAAATGGAAGTGGCGGGAGTGGACAGAGTGGCAAACAAGCGGGTGGAGGCGGAGGTGGAGGGTTTTTCGGTGGCGGAGGAGGAGGCGCAGGTGTTGACGGAGCTGGAGGCGGTGGAGGCAGCAGCTTCGTCTCCTTTAGAGACCTGTTTAATTCGTTCAAATCTGGGATTAGTGACGCTAGTCTGCGAGCACGAGTGAGTGACGAGACCGTAGACAAGCTCCGAGTGACTCCACTGACATCCTCGAGCGTCAAAGTGAGCTGGAAAGCTCCTCGTTTTGGCTTCTCCCAGCTCGTGGAAGGATTCGTGATCGAGATGGCCAATCGCTCCGTCAATGAGGACTTTCGTCTTGTACGTTTGGTCACTCTTCCGGCCACTGATGTCACGGAGAAGAGCGGTACTCTTACCCTCCACGGTCTTACGCCGACGGCTGCGTACCGTTTCCGAGTGAAAGCTTTGCTGCTCGATGGACGTGGCACTTTCAGTGATGTCGTTACGCTGCGTATGCCTACGAAGCCGAGGAATACGTGGAGACGTTGCGTCACTCGAACTGTAGACGAGGAGAACACGAGAGCAGGAATGCGCGTCACCAACACTCCTCCCTTGCAGCGATTTCCGTCTGCTAGACGAGGACATTCCCTCACATTGCTGGACAATTCTCTGTACCTCTTTGGAGGAATGGCGAAGAGCTACGAGTGCAGCCGAGCACACAAAGTGCCGTGTTTATTACAGCCGAGTCCACGATCAGTGTCCAACGATTTCTGGCGATATGATCTGCGCACGGAGACGTGGTGGTCTGTGCCTCCGCCAGCGTTGATACCTTCTCCAAGAGAGAAACACTCGATGGCAGTGGTGAATGACCGCTTGATTCTGTTCGGAGGACGGCAGAACGACGTGTCGGACGCAAATGACGCCTCGACGTGGGGACCTCGAGCCCTGAATGATTTGTGGGAGCTGTCGGTCTCCTCCAGTACAGCGAAACAGACGTCAGTGTCGCTGGATTCTCGTCAGCCATCGGCTTTGTCTATTCCGGATGGAGGACAAGTCTTTGCGCTTGGGAGGAAGAGTGGTAGTGCTGGTGGAGAGCAACTCTGCGTTGTCAACGTGTCTGTGAGTGTGCAGATAACACACGCGTGTCCGCACACACTTGGCTTGCAGGTGTTTGGCCCCGGACCTGCAACGTTTCCAGGTCGACAGCAGAGTGCTCACTTTCCTGTTCGTGGAGCGATAGTCAAGGACTGAGGAGCCTACAAGGAGACAAGAGAGCGACTGGCACTGCGCCGAATGCCAGAGCGTTCCCTGTGTTGCTACGTAGTCCCGACGAAGCTGCAGATAAGAGTGAATGCGTCCCAAGAACGGAGAAACTGCAGTTCGTGTCGACGTCTAGTCTCGAAGCGCTCTCGGTCTTCCATCAGCTGCCTGTTGCCGGGAACTGGACGCTTGAGTTGACTGACACTGCAGCGGACGGCTTTGTCGGGACCCTGGACTCGTGGGACGTCACTTTCGACGTTGCTCCTTGCGTTCCTGCCTTCACGTGGACGAATCTGTCGTCCATAGCAACGGGAACGGCCCCGACCGCGCGGTTCCAGCACTCGGTTGTCGTAGTCGGGAGCAGTATGTTCATCTTCGGAGGCACAGCGGGAGGTACTGGCTCGGAACTGAGCGACTTGTATCGACTGGATTATACCCCCAGTGTGGCGCTCGGTGTCGCGCCAACTGCTCGATGGACGCAACTTGCGTCTCTGACCGACAGAGAGAGCCCCAGTATCGCTGAGAGGAGAGTTCATGCAGGACGGGCAACGTTGCTGACTCCGTTTGAGTTGATGGCTGTCGGGCGTGGACTCAAGTCTCCTCGACGAGCGTCTCTCGGGTCCAGGACGGCGATGGCAGCTTCTCGCCTCGAGTCGCAACTGGACGTTCGTTTGAAGCGTCTCGAAGATCTGATCGACGGATGGAGAGCTGTCGCTACTGCATCTGGAGAGGATGAGAGCGCTCTTGACGAACAGCGTCCTGTGCCTCGGTACTGGGCTGCTAGCGCCTTTGTTTCCTCACTGCCAGGTAGTAAGGTGCCGCGTGTATTCCTGTTCGGCGGCCAAGATGACACGACGCTGCTGGACGATCTCTGGAGTCTGGAACTGGCTCAGCTAGATGAGGATTTCCCTCAAGATCGTCGAAAGAGTCAACGGATCAGAGCATGTGCGTGGAGACAAGAGAACTCGGCGTACAGGACACAATGGGCATCGTCTTGTGGGGCAAGCAATACGGCAGCTGCAGTAGATAAATGCACACTGGAGATGCTGCTGTTGTACGCATGGTGCGACGAGTATTACCAGTCGATTGGATTATAAACAACATAGAGTGTATCTATTATAATGAGAGCGGTTTTGCGTAGGAATCAAATTGCACATGGCCTTGCTTGGAAGTGATTGCTGTGTAGATGCTTGTTCAATCTTCCTTTACCATAACGTTACAGCAAGTTTGATAGGGGCCAGTATTGAAAGCTTCAACTTGGAGAGGATACCCACATTTGGCGGTGAGCAAGCTGGTACCAGCGAATTGGTACACTGATGCAAAGAATTTTTGGAGATACAAACCCGGATGGGTATT